TCAGCTCAGAACCTACCTCTGGTTGGGTTAGTGGCGGTGCCTGTGTGGCGGTGCCTGTGTGGCGGGTGCCTGTGTGGCGGTGCCTGTGTGGCGGTGCCTGTGTGGCGGGTGCCTCCGCCACTGCCGGCTACAGGAGAAGGCAGGCCTGAGCACCCGTGTGTTCTAAGCCTGCTCTTCAGTGACCTTCTGCCCCTTCCTCTCTCTGCCCCGCCTGATGCTCCTCCTGCTGTGTGGTTTCATTTGTCCAACAGACTAGTCAGGTTGGTAGGAGAATGGGGGCGGAGAGTCACAAGGTCCTGCCTGCATTGTGTGGCTCTGCTGTGTCTGTTGTTGAACTGTTGGAGGGATCAGCATGTACACGATTTGAGGTGTCACAGCTGTCAGCTTCTGGCTGTCACCATTAGGCCAAAGTGAGCTCCAAAGGAGAATTTTAATTTTTTTAAAGTTTTAAATTTAAAAAAAGCTTTGCTTTTTAACAGTTCCGGCAACCAAACACATGCCTGGTATAGGTGGTTTTTCTCTTTCTTTTCAGCCCAGGTCATTATCTACGACAAGGTTCTACCTCTGAGCCAAGTTCCGGGCCCCTCTCAGACAAATTCTAAGCATTTAACTGCTGAGCTGTGCTGCCAGCCCCTCACTGGGGGGTTCTAGGCAAACACTCTACACTAAACAATAACCTAACTTCATTGGCAGATTCTAGACCAGAGCTCTACCATTAAGTCACACCCCATGCTCCTGGGTTAGCTGTGTGTGTGTGGTGTGTGTGTGTGTGTGTGTGTGTGTGTGTGTGTGTGTGTGTGGTGTGTGTGTGTGTGTGTGTGTGTGTGTGTGTGTTTGTGTGTGTGATGTGTGTGCTCAAGTGTGTATATGGAGGTCAGAGGTCAATATCGAGCATCATACTTGATCATTCTACACCCTTTTTGTGTTTGTTTTGTTTTGTTTTGTTTTGTTTTGTTTTTGAGACAGAGTCTTTCAGTGTAGCCCTGGCTATCCCAGATTTCGCTCTGTAGACCAGGCTGGCCTTGAACTCACAGAGAGCCACCTGTCTCTGCCTCCTGAGTGCTGGGATTAAAGGTGCATGCCACTGTGCCCAGCCCCTTCCACCTTATTTTTTTGAGCAGGGTCTCTGAACCCGGAGCTTGCCATTGCTGGGATGGGGCAGTAGACCCGTGCCACCACATCTGTCTTTTCCGTATCCGAGCTTGGCCACGCCAGCCCTGCCCACTCAGTGTCTTCATCTCATCGGGTCCCGGAGGAAGCCCCATTTGCTTCTCCCGCTTCCTGACGGTCATTTTTATTTTCTTTTTCCTAGAAAAAGAAACACAAGAAGCACAGACACAGAAGTAAGCAAAAGAGTAAGAAGCTGGAGAAGAGCAGCAGTTCTGACAGCAGCGCCAGCAGCGACAGCGAGGACGGGGACGCCGCAGACCTGTCCCCCCAGAAGCTGCTGAGACGGTAGGCCCCCGGGGAGGGCGGAGCGCCCAGAGAGCCCGCAGAGGCTTGTCCGAGATACAGCACACACAGCAGGCATGCTTTGAGGTCAGAGTCAGAAACGAGGGATTTGTCTTGGGGTCGTGGCACTCGCCTGAAACCCAGCTCTTGGGAGGCGGAGTCAAGTTTGAAGACAATGTGTGCCACATGGTGTGATATTGTATCTCAAACAGAGAGAAGAAATATTCGGGTCCAGCAGAAAAAGCTCTCTTCTCACATTAACCTCCTCCATAGATACCCTGTTAACTTTCAAGACTTCTGTGCAAACACACACGCACACATACACACACAGAGTCATATACACACAATCATACACGTGCATGAACATGCATACGCATAATCATATAAACACAAATACTCACAAACACACACAGAGTCATATACACACAGTCATACACGTGTAATCATACACACATGCAGCTATGTACACACATCATATATACATTGCTATGCATGTTTAATATATACATTTCAAGATTGATTTCTTTTATGTGTTTGAATGTCTGCCTGCGTGTGCACACAGTGCCCACAGAGCCCAGGAGGAGGTGTTGGATTCCTTGGAGCTAGAGTCACAGTGGTTGTGAGCTGCTATTTGGGTACTTCGATGTGAACCGAGATCCTCTGCAAGAGTAGCAGGTGCCATCTCTCTAGCCCAGCCCACCCCCACTTTCAGACTGTGACGTGGACGGCCTCTAGCCCAGTCCCCCGCAGAGCCCTTGTTCCCCTCTGGGAGCTCACGACAGGTCCTACTGTCCTGCCCTCCATCCTCACTGCCGTCTTCGCATGCCTGCCAGCTGGTCCATAAAGGTCTGCTGCCTTCCAGGGTTTCTCTATCTTACAGCTCATTCCTCCCCCAAACCAGTTCTAACCCGTGAGCTCCACTCAGGAGCCCCAGTCCTCAGTAGCAGTTTTCTGTTTCTCTTCTATGCTGTGAGAAAATGACTGACAGGGAGCAAGCTGAGGAAGGAAGGGACTGGTGCGGCCCACTGTCTGGGGCGGCCACTGACCACTTCTCTGTGGCTCTGGTAGCAGACATGAAGGCTGGCACTCAGCTGGCTCCCTCCTCTATCCCTTTTTGTTTGTTTGTTTGTTTGTTTTTGTTGTTGTTGTTGTTGAGACAGGGTTTCTCGGTGTAGTTTTGGTGCCTTTCCTGGAACTCGCTTTGTAGCCCAGGCTGGCCTCGAACTCACAGAGATCTGCCTGCTCTGCCTCCTGAGTGCTGGGATTAAAGGCGTGCAACACTACTGCCTGGCACCTCCTCTATCTCTTTTTGTTAAGTCTGGGACCCCAGCCCTTGGGACATTGCCATCCACATCCAGGGTGAATCTTCTCAGTAAACCATTCTAGGAACACCCTCACAGAAGACTAAGGATGTGTCTCCTAGGTGATGCCAAATCCAGGCAAGTTAACAATGAAAATCAACTATACACCCATTAATTAACCCTGCTTGCACTTGGTACCACCCTCTTTGTTTAAGACAGGTCTCACTCTCTAAGCTGGGCTGACCTGGAATTTACTGTGTAGCCCAGGCTGGCCTAAAAGCCATGAAGATTCTCCTGCCTTCACCTTTAGAAGGCTGAGATTGCAGATGTGAGCCACCGACCCCGGATCTGACGTCAGCACTTGAGCAGTGGGAGACTTACCTACACAAGGGTCACACAGATGGAAGTCCTCAGTGTTTGTCAGGAGAGTGTGTTAGGACAGACAGAAAACACAGGCAGGCAGCTGTGTGCTGCTTGACAGGTAAAACTTACGTAAAATGCTAGGCGGTCTACAGAGTGAGTTCCGGGACCGCCTGGGCTACGCAGAGAAACCCTGTTCCGTAAAACAAACAAACAAAAGAAATAGTATCTCATTATTTAGCCCAGGCTGGCCTCCATCAGGCTCCTGCATCAGACCTCTGATTACTAGGATTATCAGTGTGCACAAACATGCCCAGCTCCTACTAAATTTTAGTTTTATTTAAAGGAATCATGTTTAATTTAGTTATGTGTGCTTTTTCCCTTATAGTATTTATTTACAATGCTGAGGATTAAACTCAGGACCTCATGCATGCATGCTAGTGCTATCCCGCTGAGCTAGGCCCCCAAGCCCTGATGGAATTACGTTATATAAGCTGGCTGAGGAGATGCTTCTGTTACCTAGGCAACAGTAGTGGTCGGTCCTTGACTGTATAGTGTTCCTTTATGTAAATGAAAAGTGGAGTGCTGCTGCCTGTTCTGTCCTTGGTTTTCTCCCTAGAGTGAAGCCCTGCCCAGTCCAGTCCAGTCCAGTCCAGTCCAGGGGCCGGGGCTTCCTCTGCAGTCATCTCTGCCCTTTTTTCTTTCCTTTCGTGAGACGGTCTTGCTATCTAGCCCATCTGGCCTCGAGCTTTTGATCTTCCTATCTCAGCCCCTGTGTGCTGGGATCACAGGTGTGCACCACCATGCCCAGCTCCCACTTTCGTGTATTTTGGAATTGAGATTTTAGACTGACGACTCGAAAGCTTTGGGCCCTAGTGAACATGTTTTGGTTTCTTTCCAAAAGTCATATGATGGATGAGGTGAGTGTGTGAAATTGGTATCAGAAGTTACTGTCAGAAATTGATCCTGGTGTGAGGTGAGTTTGTGGGTCTCGCTGTGTACTCTGGAAATAGTGGAAAGAAACAGTTTAAAGTCAGGACTAAGGAGCTAGAGAGATGGCTCAATAGCTCTGCTCTTACGGGGACCCTAGTTTGGTTCCCAGAATCTACAGCAAGCAGCCCATTGCTGCCTGTAACTCCAGTTCTAGGGGAGCTCACGCCCTGGCCCCCCCCCCGCCCCGACTCTAAGAGCACCTGCACTCACATGCGCGCACACACACATCACACACACACATACAGGCATGTACACATGATGTAAACATGATAGTAGTAAGTCTGAAAAAATAAAATAAGGATTAAGGCCAGCTGTGGTGATTCACGCGTGCAGTCGCAGCGCTTGGGAGCTGAGGCAGGGGGATTGCTGTGCATGTGAGGCTAGCCTGGGCTCTAGTCTAAAGCCTGTGTTGGGGTTAGGGTGTGGCACAGGGAGCCGTGTGATTTCCAGTTGTCTCACCCTTCTCTCCCGTTTCTTCTACAGACTGAAGTGTCTCCCCCTCAGGAGGCAGTAATGCAGCCCTGCCCTGGCCTGTCTTAGTCTGGAGTCTCCCCCATGTTGGAAGGCTGTATTTCCCTGCTCACACATTGTACAGATTGTATTTATATGTCAATTCCTGCTGTAAAATAATTTTTTAAACCTTGACATTTCACAGACTGCCCTGAAAGGTTGCAGAAATTGATTTCTATTTTTAATGTCAGTTCGTGTTATAGGGGTAAAAAGACTGAACAGTTTAATTAAAGTGGCTTTTTTTCTATGTGCTTCTTGATTTCTCTTGGAATTTCCTGGAGGTTTTAAAAAGAAGAGTGAAGGCCTTTCTCTGGTTTTGGTGTGAAGAAGCTGAGTTCAGTAAGGGCAGCTGGGACTCAGAAGAGGAGGGTGTGGGGAGGAGGCTGCCACTCTTGGGGGGGGCACGGCGCAGACTGAGAGGGGCAATGGGTCCCACAGGCCAGCTGGAGAGGGGCAGGATGGAGGTGGGGGTGGAAACTTCCCTGAGCCAGGCTCTGATTTCATCCCAGACCTTGAGGGGGAAAAAACCCTCCAAAGTTCAGAGGACTTTACACAACAAAACAGACTTCAAAAGAAGCAGGAAGAAAATCACGCTTTGTTTGACCACATAAGAACCCTCTTTTTTTCCCCATGCATGTAACTATCATTGGATTGTGATGAATCTTTCCTGTATAAATACACAAGTGGTGTGACCCTGGTCCCCAGAAGCTGTGTCCCGTTCCATCCAGGTCATTCCATAACTTGGGGGCCATTTGTCGATCAACTACCAAACACAAAGTGGGTGTGCTGTGAGCCCCTACACAGGCACAGGACAGAGACTGACCTGTGACAGGGAGCCAGCATCCAGGAGGGCACAAGGCTAAGGCTCCTGGGTTTGGACCTCAGTCTCCTTCCTCATGTGGCAAGCGATCATTTATAGGGGCACTCTGTATGGGCGGTATCTTCTGTCCCCGCCCCCCATTTTCTCTTTCCTCCTCTCCTTTCCACCAGATACTCCTCCCTTCTCTCTCTTTTTCGAGATTGGGTCTTGCTATGTAGCTCAGGCTAGCCTGGAAAGCAGCAATCCTGCCTGAGTCAGGAAGGGGGCAGGTAAATGGCAGAACCCAGGGCAGCACGTGGATCCGCAGGGCTCCGCACGGGTGTGGGCACGCGGTGCCACCGTTCCCCGCTGGGCCTGTGGCTGGTCTGGGGCCGGCAGGCACCAAGATGGCCTCACCACCAGTCCCCCGGAAAGCCTCGGTGGACACCAGGAGAGGTTCCGCGGAGATCCAGAAGGGCTCCGCAGTGACCAGGAAGGGCTCTAGAGACAGCAGGAAACTTTCTGCGGAGATGAAGAAAGACCCCGGAGAGGCCCAGAAGGGTCCTGGCGAGGTCAGGAGGAAGATCTCTGCACAGAAGGAGTCCATGGGCATGGGGTCCAAGAAGTGGAGTTTGGGCGAAGACAGGAGGGTTTCGATCGACAGCATGAGGGGTTCGTTCGAGAGCAGGAAGACCTCTTTTGACAGCAAGCGAAGTTCCACTGAGGGCAGGAGGGGCTCAAGCGAAGGCAAGGGCAGTTCGTCCTCCATCCCTTCCAGTGTGCGACCCAGCAAGGTGCCATGGGTCACCCTGATGAGAGCCTTGGGTCGCTTCAAGCTGTCCCTCCCGAATATCCGTCAGTACCATATGCTGGCCGCTCGCGACCCCCTGGCCGTGGACACGGAACTGCCACGTGCGAAGCACAAGGCAATAGTGAAGAGGTTATGGGGCAACCACCAGCCTCTTGCCAAGGTCAGAGCCACCCACCAAGGTCAGAGGACCCAGCTGGCCTTCCCACCACCTGCCCCCACTCTGTACCCTCCCACTGCCGGCCTCTCCTGGGAGCAGAGAGCAAACCCCTCTGTCTCCTTCCCTTCATTCTTTTCTTGCTCCCTCAGCACCCCGAGTCGCGGCACACTGTACCCCATGATTCTTAGCTGTGGGAGGAACAGGGTAAGGGGTGCACTGTTTCCATCTTAACCCCCGCCCCCATCTTTGCTTCTCAGCTTTGCTGTTATAATGCTTGTATCATACGGTCCAACTGAGCAAGGCACAAACTGAAAAATGTCTTTTTTTTTAAAGCATTTTCACATTGTGTAGCTGTCACACATTTGTTATAAAACATTTTATTTGATGTATGTGAGTGTTTGCCCGCATATGTGCATATGCACCATGTGTGGTAGTGCCTGCAGAAGCCACAGGAGAGCGTCTGAACCCTAGAATGGGAGTGATAGAGGGTCGTGAGCCACCACGTGGGCACTGGGAATGGAACCTGGGTCCTCTGCAAGAGCAGCCAATGCTGTTAACACTGAGCCATTTCGCCAGGCCCCACATATTTAAAAAAGGTTTATCTTTATTTATGTCTACATGTGTGTCTGTGTGAACCTATGCCACGTGACTACAGATACCTGACAAGACCTGAAGAGGGCATCAGATCCCTTTACAGGTAGCTGTGAGCCGCCTGATGTGGGTGCTGGGAGCTGAACTTGGGTCCTCTGCAAGGGCAAGAGGCACTCTTAGTTTTGTTTTTGTTTTTGTGTTTTGTTTTGTTTTTTTCTTTTCTTTTTTTTCTTTTTTTTGTTTTTTGAGACAGGGTTTCTTTGTGTAGCTTTGCGCCTTTCCTGGAACTTGCTCTGTAGACCAGGCTGACTTCGAGATCTGCCTGGCTCTGCCCCACCACGCCTGGCACAAGAAGCCGTCTTAACTGTTGAGATGTCTCTCTGGTCCCCAAGTTTAACTTTTTAAAGAACTGCCAAACTTTTCTGAAGTGGCTATCCATTTTTACACTCCACCACAGTGTGCGCGGCTCTGATTTGTCCACAACCTTGCCCACACTTCCTAAGCAATCATAATCCAGGTGACATGACATCGCTCTGCGGTCCTTGTTTGCGTTTCCCTGGTGACTAAGGATGCTGATAGTCTTCCCTTAGCTCTCGACCAACCGCTGGGAAGTCTCTGGAGAAACACCCATCTGTTCAGGCTCTGGGCTCACTTGTCCGTAGAGTGCCTGCCTACCACGCACAAGACCCCATGTTCAGTCCTCAGCACGGCATAAGGCAGGCACAGTGGTACACGCCAGCGATCTCAGCCCTCAGGAGGTCCAGGCAGGAAGATCAGGAATTGAAGGTTGGGTATGCAAGATGGTGTAGCAGGAAAAGGCTACTAAGCCTATTGGCCTGGGTTCAATCCCCAGCCCCACGGGATGAAAGGAGAGAAGCGGTGCCTCACTTGTGCTCTGACAGCCGCATGTGTACCACTGTGTAGTGCAGACACTACGGAATAAATACATGCTAAGTAAATGTAACAAATAAAAGAAGGGAATTCCAGGTTATTCTTGACTATACAGCAAGCTTGAGGCCAGCCTGGCCTACGTGAGACATCTCAATTAAAAAAAAAAAAAAGAAAGATAGAAATGAAATGGGGGGGTGTGTGGATGACTCGGTAGTTAAAAGTGCTTGGAGCGCAAACCAGAGGACTGGAGTCTGGAACCCCAGAGCTCGTGAACACTGAGAGGGCGTGGTAGCTTGTCTGTGATCCTAAGGAGTACGTGGGCCACCTGGATCAAGCTGGCTAGCCACACTAGCTCTACCTGTAAGCTCCACGTTTGGTGGCGGATCTTCGATTGAGAGACCTTGCCTCAAAAAATAAGGTAGAGCGTGGAGATTCCTGATATCAGCTCAGGTCTCCACATGCACACATGTGATGCACCTCCCACAAGTGTGAAGATGCACATACGCTAGTGCACCACACACACACACACACATACACACAGAGAGAAAAACAATACAATTAAAATTTGTTTTTAATCATTGAGTTCTGAGTTCTTTAGCATTCTAAATACATGTCCCATATCAGATATGTAATTTCTTGATGGGATCCTCTGTAGCACAAATGTTTTTTTTTTCATTTTTATTATTTATTTATTTTTCTATTATCAGCTTGATACAGTACAAATTCTTGTCCTAAAAGTGAAATGTTTCATTAAGGCTTGCCCAGTGATTGAATAAAACCAAAACTGATTATAAGCCACAGTCATCCTAGGGTCCCCCCTGCTATGTAGCCTCCCTGGTTCTGTGGGTTGCAGTCTGATTGTTCTTTGCTTTAATATCTAGTATCCACTTATGAGTAGCACAAATGTTTTTGACTGAATTGAATTCATGTGTTTTTTGAGATAGGGTCTCATGTATCCTTGAATTTCCTGGAATTCTCTGTGCAGACCAGGCTGGTCTTGAACTCACAGAGATCTGCTTGCCTCATCCTCTTGAGTGCTTGGATTAAAGGCATGCTCCTTTGGTCTGGAGAGTTGACTTAGCATTTAAGAGCTTATGCTGTTCTCCTAGATCCAAAGTTCAAATCCTAGCACCCACGTCAGGTGGCTCCCACTGCCTGTGAACCCAACTCCAGGGTGCCTCTGACCTGCACAGACAACTGCACTCACATGTGCTCACCCCCTCACACGAAAATATAATAACAAATAAATCTTTAAAGGGGGCTGCTGCAGCGCCTGGTGGGCTGTCTGTTTTGATGGAGGGTTTTGAGACTTGTGATCTGCTGTTGTTGCCATGACTTTAATTGTGGTGATGTTGGCTCATCTGCTTCTGTTGTTGTCATTTGTACTTTTGGCGTCAGATCTAAGAAGCCATCCCTAAGGCAAGAGTGTGGACGTTTACACCTTGGCTCGCTTCCAAGAGCCGTAGACTTTCAGTGTATAACGTTTAAGCCTTTGATCCATTTTGATCTCATTTCTGTACGGGGTGTGAGGTATGCATCCAGCTTTGTCTGCTTGTGTGAAAGTAACCAGTTTTCCCAGAGAATGTGTTTAAAAGGCTTATTCTCTCCTTTTTGTGTGTGCATGTGATGTATACTAGCATATATGTGTTCAGGTGTGCTTGTGTATGCACACACCATGACATGTGTCTGGAGTTTAGAGGACAGTTTGTTAGAGTTGGTGCTCTCCCTCCACCATGTGGGTCCTAGGAATCAAACTCAGGTCACCAGCCATGGTGGCAAGTGCCTTTACCTTCTGAGTCATCTCACCCACCCACAGTTTGGGGTCTTCTTGAATTCCCACAAAAGCTTTAGGACCAGCTTGCCAGCTTTTCTGGCGAGATGGCTCAGTGGTTAAGAGCACATACTTCTCTTCCAGAGGACCCAGGTTCAATTCCCAGCACCCATGTTGGGTGGCTCACAACCACCTGTGACTTCACATCCAGGACATTCAAGGCTCTCTCTGGCCTCCCAGTGCAATGACACACCCATGGTATACGCTCACACATACACATAAAATTTAAAATACCTGCAAGCAAGCAAGCAAGCTGGGCGTGGTGGCCCACACCTTTAATCCCAGCACTTGGGAGGCAGAGGCAGGCGGATCTCTGTGAGTTCCAGGCCAGCCTGGTCTACAGAGCCAGTTTCAGGTCAGCCAGGGCTTTATAGAGAACCTGTCTCAAAAAATAAAAAATTAAAATTAAAACACATATAAAAAGATCACCTTGTCACTGTCTACAAATACATCGTATTATCTTGGGATCTGATAAGGTGGTGTTGGATCTGTAGGTCATTTTGAAGACTTCTACTATTTTTTTTATGTTCTTATTTTCTTTTTTTTAATTTTATTTTATAATTTAATTTAATTTTACGTATCAGCCACGGATTCCCTTGTTCTCCCCCCTCCCGCCCCCAACCCCGACTTCTACTATTTTAACATTATCACACCTGCTCATCTATGATCATGGGATGCCTTCCTATTTATTTGTCTTCTTCAGTTTCTTTCAACAATGTTTCTTTATTTCCAAGGTATACGTTTTATACAACTACGTTCTACCTGTCATTTTTGTAGTGGGATGGTTTCCTTACATTTTTTTTTCAGGTCACGTATTTAGAAGCACTCTTGGTTTTGCATATTGTCCTGTGTCCCCATACACTGTTGAACTGGTTGTATCCATCCTTTTGTTTAGATCCCGTATAAAGTTCTGATCGGGCACGACAACATCGTGAGCTCCTGCCACTTCTGTATAAATGACACCAGGATCCTCAGTGGCTCCTATGACTGCTCGGTGAAGCTGTGGGTAGGTGGCCGGGTGATAGGCTCCCCGACAGCTGAGACATCTCATACACTGAGGCGCCTCTCTAGAGAATCCTCCGGCACTGAGTCCCCTGACAGAGGCCCCCAGGTTTGCCAAGGCTTCTGAGCAAGTGCAAGATAGAGGACCCCATCCCAGTGTTGAGTCCTTAGAAAGAGCCTAGTGCAGGGACAGCCAGCCTGTGGCTCTGGACCACTGGGGGCTGGGGGTGAAGACTATAAGACTGACAGCCCCCAGCTTTGGGAAGGGGGTCCTGGTGGTTCCTGGGATCTACTTGGGATTCACTGATCTATATTTTATTTTCCTTAGTTAAAAATTTCTTTTAGATATATTTATTGTATGTATATGGGTATTTTGCCTATCACATGTGTGCAGTACCTACAGAGGCCAGAAGGGGGCATCAGATTTTTCTCCTGGAACTGGAGTTGAGAGCCTCTCTGTGGGTGCTGGTCCTCTGGAAGGCAGCCAGTGCTCTTAACTGCTGAGCCATCTCTCTAGTCCCGAGTTGAATTTTTTTTTTTTTTTTTTTGAGGCAGGGTTTTGCTAATGTAACTCAAATTGGCTTTGAACTCATAGTCCTCCTGTCTCCCACATGCAGGAATTACAGACCTGTGGCATCCCACCTTTGGGTGAACTGTTACGTCTCTGGGTCTCCCTTGCATCTGGAGAGCTCAGTTTCTGTATACGAATCTTGTTATATCCTACGGTTGTGCTAAACTGTTTTTTGTCTATTCTGTTTTCATTTCATTTTTGTTTGCACGTATGTGTTGTGTCTGTGTGAGTGTATGCCAGGTGCATGCCGGTGCTCTTGGAGGCCAGAGAAGGCACTGGGCCTGCTGGAATTGGAGTTAGAGGTGGTTGTGGTCTGCCCAGTGTGTGTGTTGGGAATTGACCTCAGGTCCTCTGAACAACAGAAAGTTCTCTTAACCACGGAGCAATCTCTTCAGTGCCCTGGATTTTTAGGTCTCGCATAAAATTTCTATTGGGCTTAACACATTGTGGATTCCTGCCACTTCTGTGACATCCAGACCTTGGGTGCTCACAGAGGACAGATGGGGGGTTCAGGCCTGGGACCTGCCCAAGAGGGATGGATGAGAAAGGCAGGTGTGAGGTAGCTGAGTGCCTGGCTGTGCAGCTGCAGGCAAAGGGATAAGGGTGATGCTCGGGCAAGGCTGCAGAGGGGCAACCTCTAGACTGCTTCTAGGACTTCATGCTTGTGTCCAGCAGGCTCCGACAGGTCTGTATGGCAGTGCTGCTGGAGAAGAGGGAGCAGGGATGGAGGGTGGCATCGGCCATCAAGGGCTTGGCTGAAGGTGACTGTAGGGCTGGGGCCACACAGGAGGATGGTCTTTCTGAGGTCTGTTGACTTCTGGTTTGAGTCGAGAAGAGGGCAGGGTAGAAGACTGTCAAGGTTGGCTCAGGTTCTGGTTTGGGTAACTGACCCCTGATCCTACAAATGACCTCAGAGGAATATCTTGTCATCTCTGGGTGCCAAGCCCAAGCCAATCAGGTCAGGGTCTCCAGGTTAGGGTCAGTCAGTTTAGCTCAGACTCTGCATTTCGGATCCCGGGTGGCTTATACAACCTCCTGAGATCTTCTGAACTGCTCCAGACTCAGAGGACCAGCTGTGTGCCCGGGCTGTGTCAGACTTGCCTCGACTACCTCCAACCCCACAGCACCCCCCCACTCCCTCCCTCTGCTGCTGCCCTGTGGACATCTTTGTCCTCAGAGCCCAGGCTCTCACCGTTGGGAAAACTGCAGCTTTCTCAGGGTTCCTTAAAGCCTTTTCTAGCCCTCAGTAGTCACCAGGGGTTCCCAAGGCACGGGGCAGGTAACTGTCACTGTGTGCATTTTGCTGTGCAGTCTTCAAGTTTTTCCTGTTTCTCCAGCTGTTGTCCCGATGGAAGGGCTCGTGGCTGAAAAGGTCTTGTCTCCATCAGTGCATATATGCTTGGGTCTTGCTTCCCCCCCCCCCCTTACGCACACACATGTGTACTGCATATTTTAAGATTTGAGACCGCCCAGAAATACTGACGATGTAACTGTAATAAATTTCCGCTCTGTCCATTTGTCACACCCCCTCAATTTTTCCTGACAGTTAATTAGTGCCTTTCTTCCCTCCCTCATTCAAAATCTGTCTAGTGCCGTTGGGGCTATGTACAGCTCAGGTCTGACATGCACAAGGCCCTACTGGGTTCCATCCCCAAAAGGAAGAGAAAGCAAGATTTAAAACTTCCTAGAAAATTAACCAGAACCCAGCCAGGCAGTGGTGGTGCACGCCTTTAATCCCAGCACTCGGGAGGCAGAGGCTGGTGGATCTCTGTGAGTTCAAGGCCAGCCTGGGCTACAGAGCGAGCTCCAGGAAAGGCTCCAAAGCTACACAGAGAAACCCTGTCTCAAAAAAACCCAAAGAAGGAGCTGGAGACATGGCTGAGAGGTTAAGAGCACTGACTTCTCTTCCAGAGGTCCTGAGTTCAGTTCCCAGCACCCACATGGTGGCTCACAGCCATCTGTAATGAGATCTGGCACACTCTTCTGTATACATAATAAATAAGTCTTTTTTAAAAAACCAAAAAAAAAAAAGAAAGAAAGAAAAAGGAAATTAACCAGAGCCTGATCGATGTTTGCTCTTCAAACCATCTCACTTCATAGGCGGTGGCTTTTCCAAAGGCGAGGAACTTCGGAAAGGAGCCTCGTCCGTGGCTGCTGTTCCTCCTTTTGGCCACACGGGGCACTATTGAATACTTAATCGGCTCTGCTTCATACCACGAACTAGTCCACTAGCGCTGCTCTTAGCAGGCATGCCCCCCCACCCCCCAACCCCCTCCCACCTCCCCCACCTCCCCCCACCTCCCCCACCTCCCCCCACCTCCCCCCCACCAAACCCCCTCCCTCGCGCCCAGATTTCGAGGACATGTAGCTTACAGTCCCATGGGTTCTTGTTTTTGTTTTCCTCTAGAGAAATACACCAGCCAGGGAGACTGGATCCCAGGTGGTCAGCACTAACCCTTCTTCCCGAGCCCAGGACACCAGCCGGAGTGCCCTGCCCTGTTGAGTTCCATTTGGGGAACTCCAGGCTGCCCTTATCTCCCACTGAGCTTGGGAAAGGGACTACTGGGATTTCCTGAACGTGACCACGTACCTTATGGAACAGGCGTAGGGGGCTGGGTGTGTGCAGAGTAGCATTCACAACAGGCCTGTAAAAGCCACTGGTAAGCCAGCTTGTGTGAATTGCCTTCCTGGAATTCCGGTGCTAATTAGGCATTGTCTGTGGCACTGGTCTCCCTTCCCCACGCTCTCAAATCCCCGGCTCTGGCACGCCTTTCTGGTAGACAACACTTCACATGCATCGTTACAGGCTGTTGCTGGACTCGCTGAGCCCCAAGCTCACCCACAGGAAGACCTGTGCTGACTTTCTCTGGACTTTGCCCCGAGAACTTCGCTGCTCTTAACTGTTACTGTCATCACAGGGGCTTGCCTGTTTTGCTCACATGAATGTCTGTGCACCATGTACATGCCTGGTGCCTGCAGAGGCCAGAAGAGGGAGTCAGATCCCCTGGAATTGGAGTTACAGGTGGTTGTTATCTGCCATGGTGGTGCTGGGAACTGACCTGGGTCCTCTGAGAAGGAGTGTTCTTAACCACTGAGCCATCTCCCCAACCCTACATAAATCTTTACTTTAAATCATTATGTTGTGTTTGTACGTACAAGTGTGAATGTGTCACACTTGTATGTGTGACTTAAATGTGTCACAGTGTGTGTGTGTGTGTGTGTGTGTGTGTGTGTGTGTGTGTGTGTGAGAGAGAGAGAGAGAGAGAGAGAGAGAGAGAGAGAGAGACTTTCTGGAGTAGGTTCTCTCTCACCATGTGGGTCCTGGAGCCTGAACTCAGGTCATGAGGATTGGTGGCCAGTGCCTGTACCACCTGGCCACCTCACCAGCCCATATACTTCTATGCCTTTATCCACAAACCTGGTTATTTCTGTAGGAGGGACCCCTCAGAGTGGAATTACTAGGTCAAAGGGCATCCAATTATATTTAAAAGAAATTCTTGAGGGATACTTGTAGACTCTGTACAAAAGCAGAACATGGTCAGGAATCTACTCCCAGCACGGCCAGGGTCTGCCCGTGCCTGTGGAACTGTCAGGGATGAGGGGGTGGGGAGGTTTCTCGAGCATACTTGGGATGTTGGAAAGCCCCGGAGCGTTGCTGCAGGGCAGCTGGGGACTCCCGCTGACCCGATGACTTTGATACCTAAGCCTTGAGCACTGACTCTCTTCTCTCCCCCCTTGATTTGAGGACGCTGCCTATGGATCTCCGATTTGGGATTTTGAGCCACGACCCAAAGCTCCTGTTTTAGAATGCAGTATCACGGCTGACAGCAGAAGGTGACATCTGGTCTGTTTTACACTGTTTGGGAAAAGTGAGAGTGAGAGGCGGCCACGGTACCTGGAAGGGCAGCGAAGGCTTTTGTTTGGGCCTCAGTGCTTCCGTGTGCACTGAACATCAGGTGGTCGTAACAATGGAGCAACATTCTGCAAATTTAAATCGCTTCAAACAGAATACTTACTGTGGTTAAGAAGCCAGTCTTCACTCTCGGTTCTTCCTTCCTTTATTTCCTCCCTCGTCTCTCCCCCTCTTCCTCTCCCCTCCTCCTCCTCCTTCTTTGAGACAGTGCCTCACTCTACAGAACAGCCAGGCCTGAAACTCACTATGTAGCCCAGGCTGCCTCAAACTTGCCACAGTCCTCCTGCCTCAGCCCCTCCAGGTGCTGACAGGCATGCCCCCTGAAACTTTGCTGGAATTTTCCGCACCATGTGTCTTTTCTGTGGTCACAGAAAGCCCGGGGCAGCTGCACCAGAGCTCCGTGATTTAGCCTGGGCCCTTGTCTTACTCAGGGTCACTGCTGCTGTGATGAGACCCTGGGACAAAAAAAACCAAGCTGGGGAGGAAAGGGTTCATCTGGCTTCTTTCACTTCCACGTCACTGTTCACCACCAAAGGAAGTCAGGACAGGAACTCAAGCAGGGCTGGAACTCGGAGGCAGGAGCTGATGCAGAGGCCATGGAGGGGTGCTGCTTACTGGCTTGTTCCTCCTGGCTTGCTCAGCCTATTTTCTTATAGAACCAAGGACCATAAGCCCACAATGGGCTGGGCCCTCCCCATCAATCACTAATTAAGAAAATGCCCTACAGCCCACAGAGACATTTCTCAACGGAGGCTCCCTCTTTTCAGAAAACTCTAACTTGTGACAAGTTGATATAAAATTAGTCTCATTTTTTGTTCAGATTTATTTATTTTTATTTCTGTGTGTGAATGTTTTGCCTGCATGTTTTTAAGTGCACCAAATGCATGTCTGGTGCTGTGGAGTCCAGAAGAGGGCACCAGATCCCTGGGAACTGGAGAGTTGTGAGTACCTCTGTGAGTACAGAGAACCAAACCCAGGTCTTCCGTCGGAGCAGCAAGTGCTCTTAACCCCTGAGCCACCTCTCTAGCTCCTGGGCTCTCGTGTTCCAAGGAAAATGAAGAGCATATGGCTGCCCATGCTGTCCTCTGGGAAAGCTTGGGGCTCGGGAGGCGGTGCACACACTTCAGGCTGAGTTTATATTAATTTATGCTTAAATCCATTCACACAGGTGGGAGCTGGGCCTTTAACAGGTGAAAGAATCAGCTGTAAAGTGGATTCACTGGATTGGAGAGATGGCTCAGAAGTTAAGACCTGAGTTTGATTCCCAGCACCCATGTCACGTGTCTCACAACTGCCTGTAACTCCAGCTCCAAGGGACCCTGACTCCTCTGGCTTCTGCAACCACCTGAACTCATGTACACACACCTGTACACAGACACACACCTATACATAATTTAAAATGACAAAAATAGGAGCTAGAGAGATGTCTCAGAGGTTAAGAGCACTGGCAGCCCTTCCAGAGGTCCTGAATTTAATTCCCAACAATCACATGGTGGCTCACAACCATCTGTAATGAGATTTGGTGCCCTCTTCTGGCATACAGGAATACATGTAGGCAGAACACTGTACATAATAAATACATAAATCTTTTTTTTTTAAATGACAAAAAATAATTCTTGAAATGGATTCATTGACCCAGAGTCAAGGCTCCTGAAGGACAATACAACTTAAAGGCAAGTGTGGAGTGTTCAGGCTTCATGTTTTTTTTTTCTTTTCTTTTCTTTTCCTGAGACAGGATCTCTTTGTGTAGCCCTGGCTGTCCTGGAACTCTCTTTGTAGACCAGGCTGGCCTCAAATTCATAGAGAGCCTCCTGCCTCTGCCTCCTGAGTGCTGGAATTAAGGCATGTGCCACCACCACCCAGTTAGAGTTTTTTTTAAAAAGATTTATTTATTATGTATACAGTGTTCTGTCTGCATGTAACCCCTCAAGCCAGAAGAGGGCGCCAGATCTCATTACAGATGGTTGTGAGCCACCATGTGGTTGCTGGGAATTGAACTCAGGACCTCTGGAAGTGCAGCCAGTGCTCTTAACCGCTGAGTCATCACTCCAACCCCCTGGAGATTTTTTAATAAGAGGAAAATCTTTGCTGGATGCCACATGATTAGACAAAGATATGCATGCTAGTTCGAATTTTTGTCGCTGGGACAAATCCTGAGATGAACAACTTTGGGCAAGAAAGATTTGTTCTAGCTCATGATTTTACAGGTGGTCAATTTTGTATCTATATGTTTTTCTTCTTGTGAGTGTTTGGCCTGCTTGTGTGTTGTATGTGTGGTGCCCATGGAGGCCAGCAAGGAATGTTGGATCTCCTGACAT